AGAACCCTCAGTTCAGTTCAGTTCAACAAGTCTCCCTTGAAACTATGATTCTTTTCATTGTCATTTTTCAGTCCAGCCTCTGTACAGGAAATACACTAAGAGACAGACTCTTCCATGACCCCAGAAGCCCTAGACTCTGACATTAGGAGAGTGCAAAAATAAAATAAAATAAAATGCTGGGAAAGCCAGAACTGTGACTCACAAACTTATTTCTCAGAACTCAACTGGGACCCATAGGTCAATCTCTCTATGTGGATTTCCTGGCTTTTATTTCTATAAATTGTGCTGATACTATGGGAAAGGAATGGCTCTCTCTTAGCTTGGCCAACTGTAAATAGAACCATTTTTTCATGTTATATTACTTTCTCTTGACGCAGTAAGGAGTCAGACCCAGAGCCAGACAGAAATATCAGCCCTGCAAAACCAAAACACACTTAACTCAGAGATCGGGTTTGTGTCGTGGACAGTGTCCTAATCCAAGCCGCTCTCCAAAATACTGTAGCTTCTTCAAAAAATTCCTTCTGTGTCCACTGTCCCCATAACTTAAAAGAGCTAGAAAGTTTTCTGACTGGGGCTGGGAAGGTGGCTCAGTGGTAGAGCGCTTGCCTTGCATGCATGAAGCCCTGGGTTCAATTCCTCAGCACCACATAAGCAAAAAAGAAAAAAAGCCGGAAGTGGCACTGTGGCTTAAGTGGTAGAGTGCTAGCCTTGAGCTGAAGAGTTGAGGGACAGTGCCCAGGCCCAGAGTTCAGGCCCCATGACCGGACCCAATAAATAAATAAATAAAGTGGTTTCTTTAAAAAAAAAAGAAAGAAAAGAAAAAAAAGAAAGTTTTCTGACTTTTTTTTCTCTCTGGCATTGTATTTTTTACCAGTAGATTTTCTCACTCTCAGTACTAATCCAGAATTTAAAGCACCTTAAAATAAATTAGGCACAGTTCTCACAGAAGCTAATTATGTAGTTTCTACATATCATGGCTACTGGAAAGTTAGTGTATAAGGAGGATAGACAACTAGAGCTATTCTAAGGCAGTTTGTTGGAAGCAATTTAGAGAATAGAAAGTAAATCATTATGCAAATAAGTACCTATTAACAGTTTTTCAGCCTTGAAGGAGCACTGCTTAGCTTGAAGAAGACATTAGATTCAAGTTTTCTACCTGTTGTTAGAATTCCTTATAATTAATGTCAAGCTTTGGAGTGGGTTATACATCTTGGTAATTACCAAAATGGTTATTAGTATGCTACTAACTCCCTTCAAGACGGCAAGCTCTTCAGCTGTCTTTCCATTCGCATGATTCTCATTCCACTGACAACTAAGTATTCTTTCTTTGGCAGAGAGAAACTCATATATTATCCTTGGGATTCAAAAAAACATGGTAGGCCAAGATATCCATTTTCTTTCTCCCAGGAATCCCCAATTATGTCAGTCTTTTCCTGGCTGTGACAAAATATCTACAAAATATCTACCAAAAAGATGTATTTTGAGTTATTGTCTCAAAAGTGTCTATCCAAGGTTAGCTAGTTTCATGTGTCTGGGCCAATCATGAAGCAGAGTATGAGGGCTAAGGCTGCTCCCCTTGTGGTAGCCAACAAGCCAAGACCACTTGCACTCACCAGCTTCCTCCTTTTTTTTTTTTTTTTTTTTGTCAGTCAGGGGCCTTGAACTCTGGGCCTGGGCGCTGTCCCTCAGTTCTTCAGCTCAAGGCTAGCGCTCTACCACTTGAGCCATAGCACCACTTCTGGTTTTCGAGTGGTTTATTGGAGAGAAGAGTCTCACGGACTTTCCTGCCAAGGCTGGATTTGAACCTCGATCCTCAGATCTCAGCCTCCTGAGTAGCTAGGATGACAGGTGTGAGCCCGGCTTAACTTCCTCCTTTTTTGCCCTTTTGCTCCGTCTCAGCCTTTATCCTCTAGGATAGTGATAGCTACTTACAGTTCAGGTCTTCCTCCTTAGTTGCTGTCTCACATGCCAGTTATTTTTAGAAAGGCCTTCATAGACAAATCCAGAAGTATTCTTCACTGAATGGAGTGTTTCTTAATCCAAGCAAGTTAAAAAATCAAGCTGAGCAATGGTGGCTCACACCTGTGATCCTGTAATTCTAGCTACTCAGGAGGCTTAGACCTCAGGATCAGGATTCAAAGTCAGCCCAGGCAAAAAAGTCCTGAAGAGTCTCTTATCTCTAATTAACTACCAGAAAACCAGAAGTACAGCTGTGGCCCAAAGTGGTAGAGCACTAGCCTAGAGTGAAAGACCTCAGGAGCAGTGTCTAGGCCCTGACTGGCCTATGACTGACAATAATATTAATGATGATGATGATGATGATATTAAATCAAAGTTAACCTTCACACACCAGCCTTTGTGTGGGTAAAGCTAGTTAGTTAGTTCTTACTTTGCCCAATTCTCACATGTAGGATAGTGAAGAGTTGGCATTTACCCTCTGACCTTCCTCCTCTGTAGACACACATGCTCCACAGGCCGGGCGCTGAGGCTCACACCTGTAATCTTAGCTACACAGGAGGCTGAGTTCTGAGGATCAAGGCTAAAAGTCAGTCCAATCCAAAGGCAAGTCCGTGAAACTCTTATCTCCAATAAACTACCAGAAAACCAGAAGTGGTGCTGTAGCTCAAGTGGTAGAGCACTCACCTTCAGCTGAAGAGCTGAGGGACAGTGCCCAGGCCCAGAGCTCAAGCCCCATGACGGGGAAAAAAAAAAAAGATGCTCCACAATCAGTCTCACAGGGCCTTTTTTCCAATGTGGTATAAATCAAAGGAAAAGATCAAACACATTGGGACTGCCATTAAAAATTTGGAAAGCTAGGCTCGTGCTTTTAATCCTACCTACTCAGGAAGCGCTGGAAAATCTGTTGAGACTCATCTCCCATTAACCAGCAAATATCCAGAGTGATAGAGTTCCAGCCTTGAGTTAAAAAGCTGAGACAGCATCCAGGCCCTAAATTGTTTCCATCATCTAAAATGATGGTTTCTCCCCACCCCAGCCCACCCCAAATTACAGGGACTTTATTCTTGTTATGTTGGAATCTCAACATGGTCTCTCTGCTATTTGTTTGGTCCTAGTGCTAGGTTTAGCAACAGCCCCATCTGCCAAATTTGCTACAAGACCAAAAGTTGTCTTTTCTGTGGCCTTTTCCCAAGAAGAGGAAGCTGTTGATAAAAATCAATTGACTGACATATTGTGATTGCTGCTGGGACTCAACACTAAGCCTTCTTTCCCCACTGATCCATACCACCCACACTTCCTAAGCTTCTGTCCACAAACTGACCACAACCTACCATTTCTTTTTATTTTTTTATTTTTTGGGTCTGGTTGTGGGGCTTGAACTCTGGGCCTGGGCGCTGCCCCTCAGCTCTTCAGGTCAAGGCTAGCGCTCTACCACTTGAGCCACAGCGCCACTTCCAGCGTTTTTATTTTTTCTGCTTATGTGGAATCGAACCCAGGGCCTCATAAGGCAAGCGCTCTACCACTGAGCCCCCTTCCCAGACCAACCCACAATTTCTTTTGGTGCTCCTTTGATTTTACTCTTACCCAGTGCTGCTCACTAGCCTCCCTGGCCTATATACTCCTAGAGCAAATATTACCAAAACCTCCAGACCTATGCTAGGCTGAATCTTTCACTTATGCAAGAGTCCATTCTCTGGAGTGAGAGTGCCCCCTGTTGAGATTAGAACCAAACCTTATTAGCTCTGCAAGGACTATGTCTTGAGGCTAACTCCAAGTAGTTTAAGGTGAAAAACAAATCAGTGAAGCAGTGAAGAATATGCCATCCCCCACACATGCTCTGCTCTCGCACATTTTAAGTTAAAGGCAATAGAAAAATAGCAGGTGCAACATCACTTCTTTCTGTTTCTTAAAAGCAGGATGACTCTTCTGTAATTCTAGCTACACAGGAGGCTGAGATATAGAGGTTTATGATTCAAAACCACCTAAAGCAGAAAAGTCCTCAAGACTCCATTTCCAAAATTGTACACAAAAACCTGGGTAAGAGACAGCTGAGTACACGAGACCCTGAATTCAAACTCCAGTGTGTATGGGGAGGGGATAGGGGAACAGGACATGAAAAATCCCATGATATACTGCCTATACCAAAAAGAAAGTTACCATTCTTATCCCCATGGATAGGAAGTTTAGGCTAAGAAAAACTGTACGAACCAATCCTGTTAAACTAAACCTCATCTCCCTTATCTTTCTAAGTGTTCTCTGCTCAGTTAGCTGCCCTAGCAGTTAACTGCCCAAAGCAGTCTCTGTTTTGTCACTTTTTTTTTTTTTTTTGGTGGGTCGTGAGGCTTGAACTTTGGGCCTGGGTGCTATCCCTAAGGTCTTCAGCTCAAGGATAGCGCTCTACCACTTGAACCACAGTGCCACTTCCGGCTTTTTCTGCTTATCTGGTGCTGAGGAATCTGAGGCCTCGTTCACGCGAGGCAAGCACTCTACCACTGAGCCACCATCCCAGCCCCCTGCTTTGTCACATTTTTACAATTTGCTACCCTTTGTCTAACACACTGCATAAGAGTTCAAGTTTGTGTCAATGAATTTTCATTTCCTTCTGAAGATTCCTTTGCCATGTAAAACTTGTATTAAATAAATGTCTTCCTTTCTTCCTTCCTTCCTTTCTTTCCTTCTTTTCTTTCTTTCTCTTTTTTTGGTTGTGGGGCCTGAACTCTGGACCTGGGCACTGTCCCTCAGCTCTTCAGTTCAAGGCTAGTGCTCTACCACTTAAGCCACAGCGCCACTTCTGGCTTTTTCTGCTTATGTGGTACAGAGGAATCGAACCCAGGACCTCATGCATACAAGGCAAGCACTCTACCACTGAGCCACCTTTCCAGCCCTGTGTTTTTCTTCTGTTGATATTTCTTTTCTTTTCTTTTTTTTCAGCACTCTGCAGTTTATTAACCACTCAAGTACAGTAGCATCTGGTAAAATTGGTTACAGGACTGGAATTGAAAAGTGAACAGATATTCAGCATCTAACACTTTAAAAGAAGCCACTACATACTCTTTTCACAAATGTTTTCACGGAGCCAATACAGTACTAGCCATTAACCCAGTACACCAAGGGTACTGAAGTAGAAAAGATGCAACAAGAAAAATAGCTGCATTAAAAAGACCAACACTTTAGAAAAAGAGTAAAACACTTTTAGTTTCTCCCTTTTAGCCCCTAAAATGTCATCTTACAGTCTGATCTACCTATACAGTCCTACATCAGCTTCTAGAATATTTGTCAGGAGGGAAAAAAATAAAATGACACTGGCCAGTACAGTCTTTGGATATTTAAGAAGGGGAAGGGGAGAAAGTCAGTTCTCAGAAGAAAATTAGTCAGCTTCAGTCTCATCAGCAGGATCTCTGGACTCCGTTCTTCCGCACCTCTTCCACGTGCTTATCCTTCTCTCGAAAACGCTCCAATTTGGCAGCCATCTGTGCCTCTCGGTTTTCTTTGTTAGCTTCCATCTTATGGGTCGGTTTCTCCTCCGCCATTTTGCTGAAATTGTTGTTCTCTTCTATTGCTTTCTGAAGCACTTCTTTCTCATGCTCTCGTTTCTCAGCAAGCTGCTTTAAGACCTCAGCTTCGTGGGACTTATGTCTTTCTTCTGCAGCTTCCAATTTCTTCTGAATTTCCTCCAGGGAAAGATCCTTCTTCTTTGGAGGGGAAAGGGGGAAATCAGGGGCAGATTCTTTTGACTGAGGGCTGAGAATCAGCTGGCTTGAGGCTCGCTTCTCCAGTTCCTTCACCTGAATATCAGAAGAAGCCATGGTGAATAGAAGACAAGAGACTGGCAGTGTATTCTACACAAATCCACTGGTAAAGAAAGCCCTGCTCTGTCCGAGCCGCCTGGCCACACTCTCTTCTGTTGATATTTCTAATATAAATGTAATTCAAGTGCAGCTGAAAACCCCTAAGAGGGCAGGTGCAAAATTTTGTCTCTCTCTTGGACTGGGAAGGTGGCTCAGTGGTAGAGTGCTTGCCTAGCATGCATAAAGCTCTGGGTTCGATTCCTCAGCACCACATAAACAGAAAAAGCCAGGAGTGGTGCTGTGGCTCAAGTGGTAGAGTGCTAGCCTTGAGCTGAAAAGCTGAAGGACAGCGCCCAGGCCCAGAGTTCAGGTACCATGACTGGCAAAAAAAAAAAAAAAAAAAAAGAATTGTCTCTCCTGTTTGAGAGCAAGTTTAGGAAAAGTGATGGCATCAGTTCCAATAGTCCACTTGCTTCTTTTTCTGTTTCTCAATTTTATTTATTTCGTGGGTGATGAGGCTTGAACTCAGGACCTGGGCACTACCTTGAGCATTTTTGCCAAGGCTAGTGCTCTATCACTTTGAGTCACAGCTTCACTTAGGGTTTTCTGGTGGTTAATTGAAGATAAAGAGTCTTAAGGGGACTTTCCTGCCTGGACTAGCTTTGAATAGTGATCCTCAGATCTCAGCCTCCTGAGTACCAAGTGTTAGGATCCATCACAACCATCCCAGGGAACCATGTGGAAGTAGGCAGGCACAGGAGAAAGATTATTTTAAGGTTTATTAGAAGGGCCATATGTCCTCTTGGAGAGAGAGCAATATGGTGTCTGCCCCCATCCAGGTAGGTAGCTCCGGGGTAGTGGCCAGGTAAGGTAACTCTGGGCAGAGAGAGGGAGTGGCCAGGTCTGTGAGGAGCTGAGGACTGAGGCGGGATAATGCTAACACCTAGGATTACAGGCCTGAGCTACTAGCACCTGGCTCCATTTTCTGAGTTTGCTTATCCAAATTTTGTCTATTTTTTTTTCCTAACTCTTCTACAGCAGAACACATTCTCAGGTCCTCAGAGTTGAGAGAGGGCTTCTTCAATTTGTACCTAAAATCCCAGGGAAAGATTGTGACTGGTTTCAGTGAGTCACTTGTTTGTTCTTGGATCAATCACTTTTGCCATAGAGGGAAGAGTTATATGATTGGCAGCCTCAGGAGACCCAAAAGGAGAATGGAAAGTCCAATTAAAAAAAAAAAAAGAAAAGAAAAAAGGAGTTCTAGACAGACAAAAACAGCAGATGTTTTCTATCACAGACTAATGAAAACTAAGACTTTTATAAAATGAACAAACAACTTAAATAGATATTTCTCCAAAGAAGTATGCAAATGCTCAGTAGGTACATGAAACATGTTCAGCATCATTATTCATCAAGGAAGTGAAAATTAAAACTCAATGAGATACTATTTCATACCCATTAAGATGGCCGTAATAAAAAATTCCAAAGTATTGGTGAAGATGTAAAGAAATGAGAACCCTCATATACTGCGACAGAAGTTTAAAATGGTGCAGCACTTTGGAAAGTCTGATAGTTCCTCAAATGGTCCAATATCAGATTTACCCTAAACATACACTTAGGTACATATTAAAGAAAGATGAAGCCAGGCACTGGTGGCTCACACCTGTAATCCTAGCTACTCAGGAGGCTGAGATCTGTGGATCATGGTTCAAAGCCAGCCCGGTCAGGAAAGGCTGTGAGACTCTTATCTCCAATAAACCACCAGAAAGCTGGAAGTGGCTCTATGGCTCAAGTGATAAAGTGCTAGCCTTGAGCTGAAGAGCTGTGGGATAGCACTCAGGCCCAGAGTTCAAGCTCCAAGACAGACAAAAAAAGAAAAGAAAGATGAAAATGCGTCTCTTCATAATCTTTTGTGTGTGTGTGAGTGTGTGTGTGTGTGTGTGTGTGTGTGTGAGAGAGAGAGAGAGAGAGAGAGTCCTGGGGCTTGAATTCAGGGCCTAGCACTGTCCCTGGCCCTCTTTTTGCTCAAGGCTAGCACTCTATCACTTGAGCCACAGAGCACCACTGTTGGCCTTTTCTTTTTCTTTTTTGTTGGTTGTGGATCTTGAAATTTGGGTCTGGGTGCAGTCCCTCAGCTCTTCAGCTCAAGATTAGTGCTCTACCACTTGAGCCACAGGGCCACTTCTGGCTTTTTCTGTTCATGTGGTGCTGAGGAATCAAACCCAGGGCCTCATGCATGGAAAGCAAGCAAGTACTCTACCACTGAGCCACCTTCCCAGCCTACTTTTGGCTTTTTCTGTTTATGTAGTACTGAGAAATCGAACCCAGGGCTTCATGCGTGCTAGGCAAGCACTCTACTACTAAGCCACATTCTCAGCCCCTCTTCTCAAAATCTTGTACATTGACCTTCATCCATCCTTCATTCCTAATAGCCAGAATATAGAAACACCTTTCAGCAACAAAATTTGTATTAGCATACAATGCCATATTATTCAGCTAAAGAAGAAAGTAAAGTATTGATACTAAAACGTGAAATATTAACCGGAGATGATTCTATTTATAGTGTGTCCAGAATAAGGAAACCCCTAGAAAAATAAAGTAGATTTAGGTGTTGGCTTGGACTGGAGTTGTTGGGAGGACTGGGGATGATGGTTAAATATTGCAGGCTTCCCAGCTGGACACTGTAATCGTTGCTACTCAGGACGCTGAGATCTAAAGATCGCTGTTCAAAGCCAGACTAGGAAAGTCCGTGAGATTCTTACCTCCAATTAATCACCAAAAAGTCTGGAAGTGGCTCAAGTGGTAGAGCACTAACCTTAAGCACAAAAGTTCAGGGACAGTACCCAGACCAATTCAAACCCCAGCTCCCCCCCCCCCCGCCCCCCCCCCCCCCAAATTGCAGGGTTTCTTTTTGGAAAAATGTTCCCACGTTCTCAAATTGATGATGATGATGACTATCCAACTCTGTGTGTATACTAAAAATGACTGAAGGATGCAGCATGAGATCTCATCACACAGTAAATATCCCGGGCTCGTTCTTCACGTCCTTCTATGGTCTTCGGGACCTCTGAGAAAATGGGGACCGCTCCAATGCTGCTTCTATTTCCTAGCAGGTAACTCCTCCCTCAACAGCAAAACGCGGCTGACAATCTATTTCCTGGAAAGGTTATGATTCGTAATGAACTAAAATTATAATGAAGATGTGGTTACTAACGAAGCGAGTGCGATGCTCAGTGGGAGCTCCGTCAACACGAGTGTGCGTGTGTACAGCGACGCGTACGTCCGCACGAGCGCACACCGGGGCCTCGGCGGCTCCCGAGGGCGGGTCCCTGTTCCTGCGTCTCCGTCCCCGCTCCCCGTGGTCTCGGAAGCCCTACGACAGCAGGACAGCAGTGCAGACCGTGAATCCAGGAGTCAAGGAAAAGTTCCACACTCACTGGCCTGGGCGGATGGAAGCAACGAGGCCACTCTGCAGTGTTATCGCTGGCGGGTCAAAGAGCCCCAGACGGGTGACTGCGGGCCAGAGCCACCACCGCTTCCTCCTCCCCCGCCCCTTCCCCCCCCCAACCCCCCCTACAGCCAGCCGAGAACAATGCGCCCAGTCCTACCCTGGCAGCCGCTGAGCCGCGCCCAAGTGGCGCGCGGGGCCTGCCGGGAAATGTAGTTCCCCAGGCCTCGCCTGCGTCGCGCCACTGCTCGCTGGCCAGGTGTCGCGCGCTACTACAAATCCCGTCACGCCCTGCGAGATCCTGCTCACGGGGCTTTTGCGGAAAAGGAGTGTGGCTGACATGGCTGAAGATGCTGGGGCCGGTCCTGCGTGTAGCGGGATGGGCGGTAAGCAGGATCCTGTGTCTAGTGCTGGCGGTTGCAACTTTCCAGAGTACGAGTTCCCGGAGCTGAACACTCGCGCTTTCCACGTGGGAGCCTTTGGGGAGCTGTGGCGCGGCCGGCTGCGCGGAGGCGGGGACTTGTCGCTGAGGGAGCCGCCGACCCCCGGGGTTGCGGACTCCGACCTGGAAGATGTCGCGGTGGCCCGGGATCTGGGTTGCAGCCTGGATGCGGCGGCCGAGCTGAGGGCGGTGTGCGGGTGAGTACCCGGCCCGGGCCCGGGGCGCAGCGGCCGGGGCCCGGGCGCGGTGCCTGTTCAGGCCCCTGCTGGCCGGCGACCCGAGCTGGCGAGGGGCCCGGGGCGTGCACGCGGGGTCTGCGGAGGACCTGCCCCGACCTCCCCCATCCCTTGCTCAAACCCCGGGAGAGGCCCTGGGGTGTGAATGTACAATTGCTCCGAGTAAAAGGAATGAGACAGCTACACGAAAGACTCGGGTTTTATTTCCTCCATTTTCGCTCATTTTTGATCAAAGCAGGGTTTCAGTGACGTGAATCTGCCGTTGACACTTTGACAACGGAAGCACCTCAGTCATGATGAGGCAGAATGGGGCTTAGTCAGAGAAGTATTTAAAACTGGGGTCCAGACACGTTCTCTTGGCTGTGCTGTTACTGAAAATTTCCCCCCAAATTGCCTAGTGTGGGGTGAAAGGAAAACATAACAATCTTTCTCCATTTAACGGTACTTGCCACCTTCTGTCGCCCATATATCCATCATAAAATATCTGAACAGAAACTATTGCCTCAAATCCTACCCTTTTCTTAAGCTGCCTCCTGGTTTCATCTGACTTCTTAATTATTTCAGTGGTGTATTTAGGACAAGCTGTGACTTGCTGTTGACTCGATGCATGACTGACAAAGTTTTACTTTTCCTCGTTTGTTTTAGCGTTGATAAACTGAAATGCCTTGAAGAAGGTGAGGATCCTGAAGTCATTCCAGAAGATACTGACCTGGTGACTTTGGGGTATGGATGACTTTGTTTTTGTTCTATGTTCTTTACTTAATTTATTTTTGGTGCTGAGGATTGAAACCAGGGTCTGCCTGGCTTTTGTTGATCATCTAACACTGAACCTGAACCACATTGCCAGACGCAGTGCTATTTATTTAAACTTTGTAGGTGTGTGTGCGTGCATGCGTGCCCACGTACACACACGTGCACTCACGCACCAATCCTGAGGCTTGAACTCAGGGCTTGGGTGCTATCCTTGAGCTCTTTTGCTCAAGACTGGCATTCTACCGTTGGAGCCACAGCTCCACTTAAAAGTTTTGTGTGTGTATGTGTGTGTGTGTATGTGTGTCTGTGTGATAAATTGGAGATAAGAGTGTCACAGACATTCCTAACTAGACTGGCTTTGAATTGGAATCCTCAGATCTCAGCCTGAGTGAGTAGCTAGGATTACAGGCATGAACCACCAGCCACTGGCTTATTTATACTTTTTTTTTGGTCGGTGGTGGCTTGAACTCTGGGCTTGGACTCGGTCCCTGAGCTCTTCAGCTCAAGGCTAGCTCTTTATCACTTTGAGACTCACTGCCACTTCTGCTTTTCTGAGGTTAATTGGAGATAAGAGTCTCATGCCCTGTCTGGCTTTGAACTGTGATCCTCAGATCTCAGTCACCTGAAGCTAGGATTACAGGCATGGGCCCCCAGTGCCCAGCTTACACATCCCCCCTTCCCCCCACAGTCCTGGGGCCTGAAGTCTAGGTCTGGGCACTCTCCCTCAGCTCTTCAGCTCAAGGCTAGCGCTCTACCACTTGAGCCACAGCGCCACTTCCGGCTTTTTCTGCTTATGTGGTGCTGAGGAATCAAACCCAGGGCCTCATGCATGCAAGACAAGCAAGCATTCTACCACTGAACCACCTTCCGAACCCCCCCAGCTTACACTTTTTTTTTTTGGTCAGTGGTGGGGCTTGAACTCTAGGTTTGGGCTCTGTCCCTGCATTCTTCAGCTCAAGGCGAACGCTCTACCGCTTGAGCCACAGGGCCACTTCCAGTTTTCTAGTGGTTTTTATTGGAGTTAAGAGTCTCACGAACTTAACTGCCCGGGCTGGCTTTGAACCGTGATCCTCAGATCTCAGCCCCCGAGTAGCTAGGATTATAGGCATGAGCCACCGGCACCTGGCTCCTACACACTTTTAAAAGACTGTATTTTGAAAAGTTGGATTTATAGTATCCAGCTGGTTTATGTGTATTTGCAAAGGTAAAGTTAATCTAGATTTGGAGTTCAAGTTAAATAATATTGTTTCTCCAAGTATCTGTGGTAAAGGACTAGCTTTTAATATTTATTTATTTTTGTGCCAATATTAAGACTTGAACTCGGCCTTGTGCCCTCACTAGGCTTTCTTACTCAAGGCAGACACTCTGCCACTTGAGCCATGCCTCCAGTTCTGGCTTTTTGCTGGTTAATTGGAGATAAGTTTTGAAGATTTGTCTGTCTGGGGTCAACATCTCAGATTCCAGCTTCCTGAGTAGCTAGACTTATAGGTGTGAGCCAGTGCCTGGTTATTTTTAATTTTTAATCTTTGGCAGATCCATACTTTCATAAAATACTATGAAAATCGAACCGAAAAATGGAGTTTAAAAAGACAAACACATTAACAATTCTTTTTTTTTTTTTTTGTCAATCATGAGGCTTGAGCTTGGAGCCTGGGCACTGTCCCTGAGCTCTTTTTGCTCAAAGCTATCATTTTACCACTTTAAGCAACAGTGTCACATCTGGTTTTCTGGTAATTAATTGGAGATGGGTCTCACTGACTGGGCAGGTTTTTTTTTTTGGGGGGGGGGGGTCGTGGGGCTTGAACTTTGGGCCTGGGCACTGTCCCTTAGCTCTTCAGCTTAAGGCAAGCGCTCTACCATTTGAGCCACAGCTTTTTCTGTTCATGGTGCTGAAGAATTGAACCCATGCATGGAAGGCAAGCACTGTACCACTGGGCCACCTATCAGTCATCCCCTCCCCCTCCCAGGCTGATTTTGAACCACGATCTGCAGTTCTCAGTCTCCTGAGTAACCAGGATTACAGGTGTAAGACAGCAGTGCCTAGCTATATTTCCAAATTTGCTATGAAATCCAATCTAAAACTATTAACTCGTAGTGAAAATTTCTGAATGCTCACTTATTTTCTGCACACATTAGATAACATGTAGTTCACAGATCAGCTCTAATCTGCATGTATTAGTGAAATTATAACCTTCATTTTATGGTTCCTTGATTTTTACCATCTTTTTTACTATTCTCCCTGGAATACTCTCTCTCTCTCTCTCTCTCTGGAATACTCTCTCTCTCTCTCTCACACACACACACACGTATGTATATGTATATACACATATGTACATATGTATATGAATATGTACAAATGGTATATAGAAACATAATGTAACATGTAACATAGCACAGAATGTAACATAACATAGAATGTTATCATGTATTACAGAAAAGGAATCAGAGTATTCTTTTATATTTGGGGGTGGTCTGGTCGTGGGGCCTGAACTGGGCCTGGCACTGTCTATCCCTCAGTTCTTCAGCTCAAGGCTAGCACTCTACCACTTGAGTCACAGCGCCACTTCCGGCTTTTTTTTTTCTGCTTATGTGGTGCTGAGGAATCGAACCCGGGGCCTAATGCATGCAAGGCAAGCACTCTACCACTGAGCCACCTTCCCAGTCCGGAATCAGAGTATTCTTTAGCTAGATTTTTTTGGTCAGTTGTGGGGCCTGAACTCTGGTTCTGGGCACTGTCCCTCAGTTCTTCAGCTCAAGGCAAGTGCTCTACCACTTGAGCTGCAGCGCCACTTCCTTCTTTTTCTGCTTATATGGTGCTGGGGAATCGAACCCGGGGCCTCATGCAGGCAAGCACTCTACCCCTGAACCACCTTCCCAGCCCTAGTTAGATTGTTTTGATATACCCTGCATTATCATATTTAAAACATGATTTATACGAACTTTAATGATCCTATAAAGTGTCAGACTTATTCCAAAAGCCTAAATCTATCTGTGCTTCTATTCCCCAAACTTTTCTTTTCTTTACCAATTTATTAACATAAAAATAACAAAAGCATATTATCCTCTTATTGTGACATGAAATCAGTTTCTGACACTTTTTTTTCTTGCCTAATGAAATAGGCTATTTGACTTACTTTTGCATATAAGAAGCTCATATGATCCTATCTCAACAGAAAACACTAAGTGTTGTGGGGCATGCTTGAAAGACTTACCCAGGCAAAAAGCAAGACCCCATGTCAAAAAGATAAAAAAAAACAACAAAAAAAAACGAGCAATAAAGATTCGGAGCATGGTTAAGTGGTAGAGCATGTGTCACCCTGAGTTCCCTTTCTTCAGAAAATAACAAGGTTAAAGCAGAGAAGCAAATAGAATTGGATATATTCAAAACAAACATTTTAGGGTATAACAATACCTCAGGTTAGACATTTTAAAACTAAGTGGAAATGATGAAGAAAAATAGAAATGAAAAGAAATTGATAGAATGCTGGAAAATATGAAAGGAAAAGGCAAAATCATAATACAAGTGAATAAATTGTGAGATACTCAAGGGAGAATAGACTCAAATGGAAATTTAATAAGAGGCAATGAGAGCATATAAAACAACCAGGAGGGGGCTGGGAAGGTGGCTCAGTGGTAGAGCGCTTGCCTCGCATGCATGAGGCCCTGGGTTTGATTCCTCAGCACCACATAAGCAGAAAAAGCCGGAAGTGGTGCTGTGGCTCAAGTGGTAGGGTGCTAGCCTTGAGGTGAAGAGCTGAGGGACAGCGCCCAGGCCGAGTTCAAGCCCATGACCGACAAAAATAAAAACAAAAAACAAACAACCAGGAGATTGAAGATGACATTTTTTTTTAGAAAAGTAAAAATGAGTCAAAAAGCACAGGGGAATCAGAAAGGAATAGGAGAACGCAAAAAAGAAAAATATTCAAATTATCAGAGTCCCTGAAGAAGGAAGATCAAGTAGTAGCAAAAATTAATATTTAAAATATTTAAAAAAATTCTTCATGTATTCAAAAAAAGTATGATCTGTCTAGTGCCAGTGGTTCATGCCTATTCTAGCTATTAGTCTCAGTTCCTAGAAGCTGAGATCTGAGGATCATGGTTCAAAGCCAGTCAAGGCAGGAAAGTCCATGAGACTCTTATTTTACTAACCTACTAAAAAGCTAGAAGTGGAGAATGCTAGCTAGTTAAGCAAAAAAAGCTCAGGGACAGTGCTAGGACTAGTGTGCGCACGCTCACACACACACACACACACACACACACACACACACAACTGTAATCAAACAAAAGTTTGCAGATGTGCGAAGAACCACAAGTTATACATTGAAAGTCTCTTAAGTTTGACAATCTAGAATTACTAAGATAGATAACTTAGTAGAACTATCATATTGTAGAGATAATGATAAAATGATTAAGGCTTTCACCAAAAAAGCAAGTAATCTACTAAAGAAGATTTATAAAAAGCATTAAATATTGCAAACTGATGTAAAAAGCAAGGCTATACTGTAGCATTATTGTTTTGGAAACTCTTTGAAAGCAAGATCTAAGCCTTTAATGTCTACCATAATGTCCTTTAAATATTGAAGCTATAGAAATGTGTTTCAGCTTATAACACTGTGAAAAATTAAATTCCTGCCCGTAGCATCTATTTCTGACTAAAGAGTAACTTGGAATTTACTGCAACAGTGATTTATAAAGGTTATGTATTATAACAATGTGTAATACTATAACTAAAAAGATAGAAGAAGATAGGCTAATGTATGGGCAAATGGTGAGTGTTAAATAATACTGTCTGGCAAACCAGATAGTAAAAGGTTAAGTAAGAGCATGGTTTACTAAAGGCATTTGAAGTAAGTATAAAAAGCTGGGCATTGGACTGGGAAGGTGGCTCAGTGGTAAAGCGCTTGCCTTGGATGCATGAGGCCCTGGGTTCGATTCCTCAGCACCACATAAGCAAAAAGAAAAAGGCCGGAAGCTGGGTGCCGGTGGCTCACACCTGTAATCCTAGCTACTCAGGAGGCTGAGATCTGAGGATCGAGTTCAAAGCCAGCCCAGGCAAGGAAAGTCCGTGAGACTCATCTCCAATAAACTGCTAGAAAACCGGAAGTGGTGCTGTGGCTCAAGTGGTAGAACACTCACCTTGAGCTGAAGAGCACAAGGACAGCGCCCAAGCCCAGAGTTCAAGCCCCACGACCAACAAAAAAAAAAAGAAAAAGCCGGAAGTGGCACTGTGGCTCAAGTGGTAGAGCGCTAACCTTGAGCTGAAGAGCTGAGGGACAGCACCCAGGCCCCAAGTTCAGGCCCCGTGACCGGACCCAAAAAAAAAAAAAAGCTGGGCACCGGTAGCTTATTTCTGTAATCCAGCTAGTCAGGAAAATCAGAATCATTGAAGCCCTGAGTTCAAGTTCCAAGACTAGCATGAGTGCATGCTTCCTTCTCCCCCATATAAAAACAGACGTACCAGCAGGGTGTTGGTGGTTCATGCCTGTAATTCTAGTTACTCAAGAGGCTGAGATCTGAGGATCATGGTTCAAAGCCAGCTCAGGCAGCAAATCCCATGAGACCCTTACCACCAATTATCTAGCAAAAAGCCAAAAGTGGAACAGTAGCTCTAGGGACCAGAACACCAGTATCAACACACACACACACGCACACGCACACGCACACGCACACGCACACTTGCACACATAAAAGAAAAAAAGAATATCTTGTAATGAAAATAGTTAAGTAATATGTTTAATTAGAAAATATTTTGAGGAGCCGGGTGCTGGTGGCTCACGCCTGTAATCCTAGCTACTCAGGAGGCTGAGATCTTAGGATCGCGGTTCAAAGCCAGCCTGGGCAGGAAAGACCGTGAGACTCCTATCTCCAATAAACCCACCAGAAAACCGGAAGTGGTGCTGTAGCTCAAGTGGTAGAGCGCTCACCTTGAGCTGAAGAGCTGAGGGACAGCGCCCAGGCCCAGAGTTCAAGCCCCATGACCGACAAAAAAACAAACAAACAAACAAACAAAAAAAAAGTACATGCAAGAACAGCTAGAAAAACTTTGCTCTTGAGGAGTCATAGGGAGTAGTGATTTTAACCATAGTAATTTGTTGTAAGGACTCAGGCTGATCTTGAATTTGTAATTCTGCTGCTTGAGTGTCTTGAGTACTTGAGCTACAGATGTATGCCACCAGCCTAGCTTACAGAATATTTGACATACTTTAAATACACTCATGCCAGGTGCTGGTGGCTCATGCCTGTAATCCTTGCTATCCGGAGGCTAAGATCTAAGGATCACAGTTCAAAGCCAGCCCAGGCAGGGAAATCTGAGATTCTTACATCTAATTAGCCACCAGAAAACTGGAAGTAGAGTTGGGAAGGTGGCTTAGTGGTAGAGTGCTTGCCTTGCATGCCACAGGCCCTGAGTTCGATTCTTCAGCACCACATAAGCAAAAAGAAAAAAGCCAGAAGTGGCGCTGTGGCTAAGTGGTAGAGCGCTAGCCTTGAGCTGAAGAGCTGAGGGACAGTGCCCAGGCCCAGAGTTCAGGCCTCACGACCAGACCCCCCCAAAAAACAAAAAAAAACCTGGAAGTAGTGCTGTGGCTCAAAGTGGTAGAACACTAGCCTTGAGTGAAAGAACTCAGCAACAATGTCCAGACCTGAGTTCAAGTTCCATGACCAACAAAAAAATAAAATTAAGGGCTGGGAAGGTGGCTCAGTGGTAGAGCGCTTGTCTTGCATGCATAAGGCCCTGAGTTCGATTCCTCAGCACCACATAAGCAGGAAAAAAAAGCTGGAAGTGGCGCTGTGGCTCAAGTGGTAGAGTACTAGCCTTGAGCTGAAGAGCTGAGGGACAGCGCCCAGGCCCAGAGTTCAGGCCCATGACCAGACCCAAAATAAATAAATAAATAATTTTTTAAAAGAAAGGACTGTCTTATAGTTATGATAAAGGTTGAGAGCATGAACTGAAGTCATTTCATTGTGTTAGCCCTGAGCATATTCAAGGAAGAAGGTGCCCTATGTATAATAATTGTCTCTGATCCATAAATTTACATTTTTTTGCCTGCTCTGTATGAATGGACCTTGACCCTTTAGCTATTTTTCCTTTGCCAGCTGGCACATTCTTAAGCTCTGGAGAAACCTTGCATCAGATGACAGGGTTTTGCTTTCTAATCTGATGTTTGCTCAGCAGCTGCAGTACACACAGCTACCCCATTGCCACTGTCCAGCACCAGCAGTGCACTTTAGTCCTTAGTATGTAGTACCTTGTAGTTTTCCTTGATATCTTCCCCCTGAACAACTTTCTTGGTACCCTTGAGGATGGATTTTCAGTAGGTTTCATTTATGTATCACCATAGCAATTTTCTACTCCTAAGGGAATCATACCAGGCCCTCTAACACATCTAGATCTTTGTCCTGAAGGACAAAGAACTTCCTTGGGCATTCTCAGCGAGACCTAGGGGTTTTATTTAGAACATTTTTTGTATTCTTTAGAAGTTTTCTTCTTTGCTAGTCCCTTATTGTTCTAGTCTTCTGTTGAAGTTAATAATTCTTATAATTTTCATGTTTTTAATCCTAGCAACTCAGGAGACTGAGATTTGAAGATAATGGTTTGAAGCCAGCCTGGTCATGGAATGTCCATGAAACTCTTATCTCCAATAAACTGCCAAAAATAAAAACATCCAGAAGTGGAGGTATAGTTCAGGTTGTAAAGTGCTAGCCTGGAGCATAAAAGCCCAGGGATATTGCGCAGACCCCGAGTGTAAGCCCTAGGACCAGCACCAAAAAAAAAAAAAAAAAAAAAGAAGAAGAAGAAGAAATAGGCTTTCTCTGTTCAAATACTATTTAATTTTTTTCCTCCTGGTTGACTCAGACTTGTACAGCAGGAGATAAAATATACAGGTATCTGGGATTTTTTTCATTGTTGTGTTTTTGTTGTTGAACAAAAGGCTAATGAAAGGATAAACCAGAACTCTAGAGATTGGTTTTCTTCAGTATGTATGTGGAAAGGGCAGGAAAGAAGTGAGGTAATGGGAACAGGTCAGTAGGGACAAAGGAAGTGTAACAATTGGCTCCTTTGAGCCATAGAAATATTTCACGTAGCTTTCACATACCCAAAAATAATCAGAAAGAAATCAACCAGTATGAGGATGGGGGAAACAAAATAGAATACAGAAGAATAACACAACAAGCTAAGAGGGTAGGAAAGAGAATAACTTGTCTGTACTAAACAGATCTGGATAATGTTGCAAGGCAGAAAACAAAAGAACTACTCTAGTGTTTCTTTTTTTTTCTTTTTTGTCGGTTGTGGGGCTTGAACTCTGGGCTTGGGCGCTGTCCCTGCGCTCTTCAGCTCAAGGCCAGCGCTCTACCACTTGAGCCACAGCACCATTTCCGGTTTTCGAGTGGTTTATTGGAGATAAGAGTCTCATGGACTTTCCTGCCTGGGTTGGTTTTGAACCGCGATTCTCAGATCTCAGCCTCCTGAGTAGCTAGGATTACAGGCGCCCGGCTCTAGTGTTTCGTATAGGGGCATAAATTAAGCATTTCTGTAATTGCTCCATGTACTTAAGAATTGAACATATCCTGAGACATAGGTTTCTTATTTGTGGAGAAAAAACAAGTTATAAACAAGGTAAAATTGAAGGCTACAGTGAATCTTGTGATTTAGTTTGGGGTTATAAGTGTCTGTATATTATATATTTAACTCAAGCACAGCAATGCAGATATTTATAGGTATGTATTTTCTATATGTCTCAGCTGAGAAACCTAGAATTACTAATTCTAGTATCTAGAACATATAACACAGAGATAATGGTCTTTAAACACATCTTTCCAATAAAGGAACAAGATTCCTAGAAGTAGTCAGTTCTAGGATTAGGGAAAGACAAATACAGTATAAATCTTCAACATGTTTGGTTTCCAAAAAGGAAAAACTATGTGAACTACAAAGAGAGACAGAAGAACTAACTTGAGGGAGACTGAGGAAAAACAACCAATGCTATATGAAATCCTGTTTAGGAATCTACAACAGTGGGGATAGGTGAGAGGTAGAAGGAGGTAGATTAAAAATTATGTGACATTTGGAAAAGATTTACAATATATTAATATTTCTATTATGATCAAAGTTGGGCAAGAGGTAGGAGGTATCTCTGTACTATTTTTGCACCTTTTGTTTTGTTTTTTTGCTAGTGCTGGGTCTTGAACTTCTTTTGCTCAAGGCTAGCACTCTACCACTTGAGCCACACTGCCACTTCCAGCCTTTTCTGTTTATGTGGTACTGAGGAATTTAATCCAGTCCTTCGTGCATGCTAGGCAAGCACTCTACCACTAAGCCACATTCCCAGCCCAAGACTCTTACCTCCAATTAACCACTCAAAAACTGGAAGTGGAGTTGTCTCTCAAAGTGGAAGAGTGCTAGTCTTGAGCAGAAGAGCTCAGATAATAGCACCTAAACCCTGAGTTTAAGACCCACGACCAACCAAAAAAAAGAGTGTTGAATTTCAATTTTGTGTGTGTATGTATGTACAACAGGGTTAGAAAGAGGTTCTTGGAACATCGAGAAGAAACCATCACGATAGATCGAGTCTGCAGACAAGAAACATTTGCTTATGAGATGGTAAGGTCTCTCTTTTCACCCTTTGTTCTCCATGAAGCAGTAAATTTACTGTTAGTGACTGGAAACTAGTTAGAGAAAATTACCCACAGAGCTCAAGTGACTATATATGTGGCTCATACAGATCTCTGCCTTTATCTCCTCTTAGCTTGGTTTTGTTCTTAATATTAAGCTGTATTTATGCCTTTTTACCACGTAGTCCCAGTCTAGGCTTTTTGTTCTGTTCCCAATTCTATGTTAACCTTATTGTGTGTGTGTGTGTGTGTGTGTGTGTGTGTGTGTGTGTGTGTGTGTGTGTGTGTGTGTCTGTCTGTCTGTCTGTCTGTGTCTGTGTCTGTGTCTGTATGTGCTGAGGATTGAACCTCTTGTTTTCCCTTGACTTTTTTGTGCCTGTCTAGTGCTTTACCTCTTGAAATGCACCTCCAGTACCAGGGTTTTGTTGGTGAATTTAGAAATAATTGTCTCTGGGATGTGTCAGCCTAGGCTAGCTTAGAACCCTGGAGATCTCAGGTCTTCTGAAATCTCAGATCTCAGATCTTGGTCTCTGAGTCCCTAGAATTATAGGCATGAGCCTTTGGCACATATCTTAATCCTAATCCAGTATCTTTTGTAAAAGCCCTAAGAAAAAGTTACAAAGATGAATATTAAGGACTTAGTTGCTAGTAGACACAATGGGTTCAGAAAACCAGTCATGTGCCAGGTAGATGGAGTACTAGGGCCTTGATAATCTCTCCCACTTGTTTTTAAATTGTGGTGGAATTTGCATAAAACATCCCATTCTAATCAATAGTTGTAAATATTCACTAAAGCAACATTATACACAGTGCTATGGAATTAGAAGTGTCTATGTCTAAAACTTTCTTTACAATCTGTGTAGATTTTCCTATTCTAGATACCTAGTAGGAGTGCAGTCATACAATATTTGTTCTCTTTTGTATAGTTTATTTTACTTAGTGTTAAAGGCTTTAAAGGTTCATTTCTTTCTACAAAATGTTTCAGAGGTTCATTCCTATTTGTGGCTGAATATAATATTCTAATACATGGATATACCTAACATTTTGTTTATTTGTCCATCTTTTTTTTTTTTTTTTTTTGGGTCCAGTCATGGGTCCTGAACTCTGGGCCTGGGCACTGTCCCTCAGCTCTTCAGCTCAAGGCTTAGCGCTCTACCACTTGAGCCACAGCACCACTCCCGGCTTTTTTCTTTTTGCTTATGTGGTGCTGAGGAATCGAACCCAGGGCCTCAGGCATGCAAGGCAAGCGCTCTACCACTGAGCCACCTTCCCAGCCCGACATTTGAATTTTTTTTCTACTTTTTGATATTGTGACTGTTGCTGCTATGAATATTGGTGTATGAAGTTCCTTGTTTAAGTTCTTCTAGTATAGCACTAGGAGTTGAATTCCTAGGTCATATGGTAATTCTGTCTTCCATAAAAACTACCCTATTTTATACTCTCTTCAGCAATGTATGAGGTTCCAATTTTTCCATATCCTTCTCAACACTTATTTTCTGTTTGTTAAAATAGGTATCCTAGAAGATATTAAGTCTTTTTATATCCCTAATGACTTATCATGCTGTACATCTTATTTAAATATTTTTTGTTCTTTTTTCAGATATCCAGGTTCGTTGCCAATTTGAGTTGTGTTAAATTTTTAAATTTTTAAATCTCTTATTTACCATATTTATGATTTGAAAATATTTTTCCAGTCTATGAACTATCTTTTCACTCTGGTTTTTATGGTTTCTCTTGAGTTTGTACTCATAAGATTATCTCTGTATAAAGATAACTTTCTTAGCTGGGCGCTGATGGCTCACACCTGTAATCCTAGCTACTGAGGAGGCTGAGATCTGAGGATCACGGTTCAAAGCCAGCCCAGGCAGAAAAGTCTGTGAGACTCTTATCTCCAGTAAACCACTAGAAAACTGGAAGTGGCGCTGTGGCTCAAGTGATAGAGTGCTCACCTTACGCTGAAGAGTGCAGGGATAACACCCAAGCCCAGAGTTCAAGCCCCACAACCAACAAAAAAAGAAAGAAAAAAAAAAGATAACTTTCTTTTCAATTTTGTCACCTTTCCTCCTGTCATACTTCCTTGACAAGACTTTCCAATGCCATGTATGTGACAAAAATCCAACTGATAGTAGAGGCTTATTTTTCAGTCTTTTGCAGTTGATACTAGCTCATTGATGTTCATATATGGCCTTTATGTTGATGTTGATGAAATTCCCTTCTATTCTTAGTCTATTTAGCTTTTTTTTTTTTCTGGAAGTAGGAGATATTATAAAGATCTTTATTGCATCATTGAGATAATGACGTGTTCCCCCTCCCATTATTTTGTTAGGGTGTTGGATTAATTGATTTGATTTACTAATGTCATTTTACTCATTTACTCAACCCCACTGGGTTGAGCTTTATAATACTTTTTAATATGCTACTGAATTTGGGCTGCAAGTACTCTGTTAAAGTTTTTGCATTCATATACACAAGCAATATTGGCCTGTAGTATTCTTTGTTCTCATATCTTTGTGCTGTCAGAATAATTAATACAGGCTTTACAGAATGAGGTAGAAAGTGTTCAGTCCTTTTCAAATTTTTTGTAAGAGCTAGAGAAGCATTGCTGTCAATCTTTAATAATTTGCTAGAATTCACTCATCTGGTCATGGATATCTATGTATTTATATTTTTTGAGAAGTATTTTACTACCCATTCAACATGTTCTGAAATTGATCCAGTTTCTTGAGTTATAATAATTCATGCTTCCTTTCCTAATCCTTTTTGTTTCTGTAAAGTCAGTAGTAATGTTTGCTTTTCTAGTTTTTAGTAACATAAGCCTTCTTTTTTCAAAGTTTTCAAAGAACCAAGCCTTTGTTTTTGAATTGTCTATATTTTCCTATTTTCTGTTTTATTCATCTCCACCCTAAATTTCCTTTTTTTTTACTGTTAGCTTTGCTTTTAATTCTTTTTTTCTTTAGCTCTTTAAAATATGATTTATTGATGCAGATGTTAACATATATCAATTTTCTTGTTATATTATTAATATTTTTATATGTAGGTATTTACAGATTCAGATTTCCATTGTGCTTGATTTGTCCCAAAGTGTTTTCTTTTTTTTTTTTTTGGGTCCGGTCGTGGGGCCTGAACTCTGGGCCTGGGTGCTGTCCCTCAGCTCTTCAGCTCAAGGCTAGTGCTCTACCACTTGAGCCATACCGCCACTTCCGGCTTTTTTCTTATGTGGTGCTGAGGAATCGAACCCAGGGCCTCATGTATGTAAGGCAAGTGCTCTACCACTGAGCCACCTTCCCAGCCCCTCAAAGTATTTTCTAATTTCCCTTTTGAGTTTTTCCTATGACCTATTGGGTGTTTTATGAGTGTCTCTTTTGTTTTGTGTTGTTCTGTTTTGAGACAGTCTTACTACACAGCCCAGGCTGACACCAAACTCAAGATCCTCCTGCCCCAGCTTTGTAAATGCTGGGGTTACAGACATACACCATCGTGCCTGGCTACCAGTGTATTCAAGAACTTCTGCTTACTTGTGAAATTTTCAGTTTTCCTTTTGTTACTGATTTCCAGTGCTACTATCAGAAAAGATATTTTTGTTTTGATTTTGTTTTGTTTGATATTATTTCAGATTTTGTTTTAACATTTAAGATCTGGTGGCCTATACTAATGAATGGTCATATGCACTTGAGAAGACTATTGTTTTTTATTATTGTTACTTTTTGCTGTATCAGGTTTTTTTTCTGTGTGTGCCAGTACTGAGGCTTGAATTCAAGGCCTGTCCCTTAGCAAGCATAGAGCTGCTGTACCAATGGAGTCACAGTTCCATTTCTGGCTTTTTGGTGGTTAATGTGATAAAAGTCTCTCAGATTTTGTCTATTGAGATTGGCTCTGAACTGTAATCTGCAGATCTTAGTCTCCTGAGTAGTTGGGATTTCAGGCATGAGCCATTAGCACCTGACTTGGCACTAGGATTTGAAATTAGGGTGTCACTGTTGCTCAGCTAGCAATCTATCACATGAGCCATGCCTCTAGCCTGGCATTTTGCTGGTTATTTTGGAGATGTCTCAGACTTTTCTCTCTGGGCTGGCTTTGAACCACGATACCCTGTATCTCAGCTTCCTAAGTGCTACTGGCATCTAGCTGAGAAGACTATTAACAGTGGAAAGTTCTAATTGCTTTATGGTATTGCTCAATTCTTCTGTATTCTTACTAATCTTCTAACTGGCTCTTCACATTATTGCAAGTGGATTGAATTTTCCAGCTATTATTATAGAATTGTCTTTCTGTTTTTTGGTGGCGCTGGGGCCTCACACTTTCACACTTGCTAGAAAGGTGCTCTGTCACTGACCCTTCCTTCACATTAAAAAAAAAATTCGGGGCTGGGAAGGTGGCTCAGTGGTAGAGTGCTTGCCTTGCATGCATGAGGCCCTGGGTTCGAATCCTCAGCACCACATAAGCAGAAGAAGTGGTGCTGTGGCTCAAGTGGTAGAGCACTAGCCTTGATCTGAAGAGCTGAGGGACAGTGCCCAGGCCCAGAGTTCAGGCCCCATGACTGGCAAAAAAAAAAAAAAATCTGGGGGCTGGGAAGGTGGCTCAGTGGTAGAGCGCTTGCCTTGCATGCATGAGGCCCTGGGTTCGATTCCTCAGCACCACATAAGAAAAAAGAAAAAAAGCCAGAAATGGCGGTGTGGCTCAAGTGGTAGAGCGCTAGCCTTGAGCTGAAGAGCTGAGGGACAGCGCCCAGGCCCAGAGTTCAGGCCCCACGACCAGACCCAAAAAAAAAAAAAAATTCTGTCAGTTTTGCTTCATACATTTTATGGTTCTACTATTAGCTCCATATGTTTGTTTTGTATATTTTCTTGCTAGATGGCACTTTTTGTTAATACATATTTCTTTGTCTCTTGAAACCTTTTTCACTTAAAAGTCTATTTTGTCTGACAATAATATAAACACCAAATTTTCTTTTGTTTGCTATTTGTATGGAATCTCCTTTTACTAAAATGA